AATCCAAAAAAAACTTTAAATCAAAATAGACAAAGATTTTTTTCTTTATCATTTTGCATTTGTGTATCATTTATTTTGCAACCTAAAAAAACAACAATGAAAATACAAATGAATGCCGTTATACAATATGGAGAAACTGATCACAGTTTTTGCTTGCCTTGTTAAATATAACCTACTGTAGTAATAATTAAAATGAAAAGGGAATAGAATCATTAATCATTAGCATATTTTGTTTTGGCACTATAGCATCTCAGCCTGCTGGAGTTTGGTAGCTACTTTTGAAAGCAACTTTTATATGTTCCTATAATATCAGTTTTATACTAAAGATTAATACATTTAAGAGTTGGAATTGGATGAAAATATTCAATAGAACTTCACTATGCCTTAAAAAAAGTTCTACAATGTTCTTATTCAGCACATGAAATAGCTACAGATACATAAATAAATAATCCCATGCAGCTAGATTCTCCGTGGGACTTTTTTTTTCTGCTAAATTCAAGTAAACAGTGGAGCAAAACAATGATCAGAAGTCAATCAGCACATCCGCAGATAAGATGGCAGCAGATATGAGGGGCCAAAGCAGATCTCACAGTTCTTAGATATTTGTGCTAATGTACATTTGAATTATTCACTGCTTATTGTGAAAGAAGATTGGAGTGAGAAAGATGTGAAAAATAGATCAAATTAAAGAAAAAAATTCTATTGACATTTCATGAGATGAACTATGATATAAATCATGAAATTATTATACTATTATAGTATTTATGTTAGTAAAAATGTTACTAGAAGCTTTGTTAAAGAGGTACATAAATTAATACAGTATTGGAAGCTTCAGCACACATTTCAATGTGAAAAATGTGAATCTTATAAGGTGTACAAAAAATTATGTCTGGAAGGTGTAACTTCTAATGTACTTAAGAGCAGGACCCTTCATTTATTTAATTTACGTGGGCAACATCACTTAAATTTAAAATTAACTGGTGGACATTGCTGCTGTAATCTCTTAACAAACCATGTAACTTGGTAATGATCCCAGGCACTCTGGGCAGTGGCCCCCAGGATTGTATATTTGTCTGATGTATTTCCTTCCTGAAAATACATCAGACATTTCAAATTAAAAAGTACTAACACTATTTATGGTGGGGGTGGTGTGCTGCTGACCTTGACTTGGGGCGTTGTATGTCAGTGGGTGGAGTACTTCAAAGACCTATTTAATCCCACCGACACGTCTTCCATCGAGGAAGCAGAGCCTGGTGGCTCCGGCTTGGGTCCTCCCATCTCTGTTGCTGAAGTCACAGAGGTGGTTAAAAAGCTCCTCGGTGGCAAGGCTCCAGGGGTGGATGGGATTCGCCCTGAGTACCTTAGGGCTCTGGATGTTATGGGGCTGTTCTGGTTAGCGCGGCTCTGCAACATTGTGTGGACATAGGGGGCAGTTCCCCTGGATTGGCAGACCGGGGTGGTATTTAAAAATGGGGACCGGCTGTTTTCATAAATAGGGCACACCGGGTTATAAGGCCCATACAATAGAAGCTGCAGTCAAGCCTAACTGGGGTTGTGTTATGCATCCACTAGATGGAGCTGTACTAAAGGGAATGTCGACAAAACAGTCAGATAAATCATTCAGCTTTTGAGGATGCAATGCAAAAAAAAGCGTTCTAACAGCTCTGTTCACTCCCATGATGCCCTCTATGTAGACTTCTATTCAATAGCGCCAACTGCATGTTGTGAATGCATTGGGGTCTATGAAGCTCAAATTGAATGTTTGCACATTCACACCAATGTAACTGAAGAATGGAGGGAACTTTTCCCTGATTCAGTAAACACTTAAAAGAAACAGTCTATTGAT